AGAGAAAATGTCCACCTCTCCCATCTCCTAAGCAGAGCCGCGTAGCAGCTTGCTGGTGGAAGGTGAGCTGCTGCTGCTTTGGGTAGTGCTGGTGGGTGATTGAGGGCTTAGCCACACATCTCTTTGCTGTCCCTAACTACCCAGAGCTCAAGCTGCAGCCAGCGACTGCCTGGTTGCTCTGGGATGCGGGGGCCCTGTGGTGGGTGACGGCTGCTCCAGCGGTGGAGGCCGGAGACGCTGCATTGTGGGCAGCAGGCGGCTGCTCTGATGGCTGGGGCTAGGCTGGAGGTGCTACGTCTTGGGTGGCAGGCAGCTTCTCCAGAGCCCAGGTGAGTCAGTGTGTGGGGTGGCCAGGGCTGCTGTGGCAGTCGGGGCCGTATGGTGGGGGCGCTGCTCCAGGGGCCAGCTCCAGCCCTTCCCCAGGGCTGGAGCTGTGGCCAGGGCCACATAGTGGCTGCCCGACTACTCCCTGGGTGGGCCGTATGGTGGCTTCCCAAAGCTGGAGCCGGGTTGTAGTGCAGCTTCTCCTGGGGATGGGGCCCTCTGCATCTCTCTTTCCCACTCTCCCGCACTTTTCTTTCGCCTCTCAGAGCTCACTGCCACACACAGCTCTCCAAACATGACTGCACAAGACAAAACTCACTCCTCTCACAGCTGGAAAACCTTAGAGGGAACACTGTAGTTGGTGGCTTCCCAAAGCTGGAGCCGGGTTGTAGTGCAGCTTCTCCTGGGGATGGGGCCCTCTGCATCTCTCTTTCCCACTCTCCCGCACTTTTCTTTCGCCTCTCAGAGCTCACTGCCACACACAGCTCTCCAAACATGACTGCACAAGACAAAACTCACTCCTCTCACAGCTGGAAAACCTTAGAGGGAACACTGTAGCTAGACCAAATCCAGGTGAGGTAGATACAGTGGTAAATGGGGGAAGGGATGTTGTAGCCTTGTGATACAGTCTAAGGTACAGAAAATCCGTGAGCCACAACAATCACATTTTGGGAAACATAAATTCAGAAGACTGAAACAGAACATGGATCTGAAAGAGGAAAACTGATCAAATAATAAACAAAAGACAAGAGTTATAAATTCTTTAATATGCAAAAAGCCTTGTTAAACAACAACCAAAAATGCCTAGATGAAATTACAAGGTGATTAGTGTCAGTTTGGAATTAGATTCAAGGAGAAGGACTTGTTTGCAAATCTGGGCATTAGCAATTTCAGCATCCATACACTTCCTGTGCTCTGTTCGTAAGCCTACAGGTTTTATTACACCCATGTCACTTTAGTAAAGTTTGCACAAGGTTTACCAAAACAGCACTGCATTGTAATATGCGTTTTACTCAATAATGCAGAGTTAATGGAAGGTCTTGCGGGCTTAAGTCAAGGACCAGGTTAAAAAGGGGGAAAAGAAGGCTCTTAAAAAAGAATTCTCCTACCTCCTGACTTAGCAAGATTCAAAAAGTAAATTGATCATAACAATTTTGGAAGGGATATTTAGCCTGATGTTTCAGGTCTTCAACCAATCTCTAATTATTAGATACCATGGTTAACACTTAAATCTGATAGGTAAATTATCCCACATCTGCCCAGTGAGGAGGTTCTTTTATACCTTCCTTTGCGGCATCTAGCACCAGTCATGGTCAGAAACAGAATATTACATCCAGTGGGGAAGGGTGCAAAACCAATCGAGCGTGATCAACTAGTCGATCGTGATCAGGGCCCTCCCCATTTCCTCCCACCCCCACTATCTACCTCCAACAAAAATGGAGGTAGTGCCGGCTTACTGCAGGGGGGAAGGAAGTCCTGCAGCTGCGTGCCACTTCCGGGGGTTCTGGAAGTGCGCTGGCTGCTCCCCTCCTTCAGGTCTGTGGTGTGGCAGAACTTGCAGGGGGGGAGGTCCTCCAGAGGAGGTGCGCACTGAGCCTTCCCTGCGCCGAGGAAGGGGGAGTAGCCCCTGGAGGAGGTGCACGGGTGCTTTTCCCTGCTCCGCAGGAGGAGGAGTTGGCCCCGGAGGAGGCACGTGCAGGGGCTTCCCTCCCCTGCATGGGGGAGGGAGGGGAGTCCTGGGAGAAGGATGGTGCAGGGGACTCCCTGCCCCCCACTGGCACCCTGTTCCCTGCCCCCACCCCAGCACCCTGTCCCCTGCTCCCACTGGTCCCCTCCCCCTCAGCACCCTGTTCCCTCTCCCTTGTGCCCTCCTGCAGAACCCTGCCCCCCACCCCAACACTCTGTCCCCTGCTCCAGCACCCACTAGCACCCTTCCCCAGTACCATGTCCCCTGCTCCCACCAGCACAGTCGGGGCCACATTAGTGAGGCTTGGGGGGTTTTGAGGAGGAGGTGAGATTTTTTTTTTTTTGCATCTCCCTTGTGTGGCCCCAACTGAGTTTTCTGTGGGTCAGTGACTCCCTGACTCAAAACTGGTTCCCTGCCCTTCTCATAAAGACAAAGCAAAAACTTTTTGTGTTTGACATAGTATTTTATTCAAAAATGAAGCTTGGCCAACAAACCCCCAATTGGGGCCAAGCCCCCATCTGGCCACAGCATTATAATACTCCTGCACCTTCCCCTCCTCCCCCCCAGACCCTACTTCTAAGCCTATCATACACTGGAACCCCCTGCCCTGAGCCTCTTACACTCCCTAACCCAAATTCCTGCCCTCACAGCCACAAGCCTGTGGCTTGCGTAGTACCCAGTCCTCCATCTGACCCCAACAAACCCCAGCCAGGAGCCCCCTCCCCAAGCATCCCCTTCCCCATCTCCTCCTGCATCCATATTTCCTCCCAGAGCTTGAACCTCTCACCCCCTTCCCACACCAAATCCCTCATTCCCACCTTAGAGCCCACACATCCTTTCCCAGTGAGGGTATGGCTAGACTGCAGGAGTTTTTCCAAGATTCCAGAGATATTCTGGAAAAAATTCTTCCACATCCAGGGATGCATTTGTTCCTCTGCTTTTTTTAGTGGAAGAGCAAACATGCTCTTTCGGTAACCCCTATATTCCTCGTTCCAGGAATAAGGGGGACTCCAAAAGAAGGGACTTTTCTAACATTTGGTCCAGACCAGACAGGCCAAATGTTGGAAACACCTCTTCTTACATAAGAATTGGGAACAAAAGTGGCAGTGTAGAGTATATAAGGGCTGGGGATTGCAAGTGATGGAGAGGAGGAGAATAGAGAGAGGGCGGGGCTTCAGGGAAGGGATGGGGTTTTGGGGGAAGGATGGGGCGGTAGATCTTTGCTTGTTCTGAGATTTAAAATGTGATCTTGGGTGTAAAAAGGTTGGAGACTACTGCATTAGATGAACCTTGGGTCTGATAAATCCTACATTCCCAATGGCAAGGTAGACTCAGGAGACTGGAGAAAAAAAGCATTGCAAGTGTGCAGATTCATTCACCAACCTCTGCCTCACATCAAAGGGAATTGTTAGAAGAATTCACCCATCGGAAAGTGTATCTATGCATTCATTAAGCAGCATGTGTACAAACCCAAACCACTGAGAATTCAACAATTTGGCAAAATGCCTTGCTATTGATATATTTTATTATATTTTCTTAAACATCTGTGCAAGGGGGAAGGGAAGAGGAGGGCTGCACCCAGAATCCTTAAAAATAAAAGCTTGTTATTTTAATAAAAGCTGGAAATAGGTCAATGGAGGGATGATAGGAGTTGCTATAGGGAACTTTCTGGGTGTCTGGCTGGTGAGTCTTGCCCACATGCTCAGGGTTTAGCTGATCGCCATATTTGGGGTCAGGAAGGAATTTTCCTCCAGGGTAGATTGGCAGAGGCCCTGGAGGTTTTTCGCCTTCCTCTGTAGCATTGGGCACAGATCACAGCTGAAGGACTCTCTGCATGTTGGGGCCTTCAAAGTATTTGAAGGCTTCAATATCTGAGACATAGGTGAGAGGATTATTCTAAGAGGGGTGGGCGAGATTCTGTGGCCTGCACTGTGCAGGGGGTCAGACTAGATGATCATAATGGTCCCTTCTGACCTTAAAGTCTATGAGTCTCTATGAGTCTATGAGTTACCCAACAGAATTCCGGAAAACTCATTTTAAACCAACTTGAAAACTATATTATCACTATCAATTTAAAACATAATTCTGAATTTTTTAAATTAGTATGCGACAGAGAGATTCAATAAATGCAAGATGAGGCCTTCAATAAGACACTAATTTAAGCTACCCTAATAATATCTGACAGTCCAACCCTCAATGCTGTACCAAGCAGGTGGTGCTCAGCATTCCACAGGATCAGGTGCTTATTCAGCTAATTTACGTATACAGGCAGCATCATGATATTTTCATTTGGTTTTATTTTGGTCTTACATGAAATGACTGAAGTGAAAGCAGGTCAAGTGATTTGCTAAGGTCACATGGCATGTCAGTGGATAAGCAGGATTATTAAGGACTGGGACAATATGAGTTTAAACTGATGTACAATCAATATAAAATCCTAAGTTATCTTTTGAGAAATATGTTTAGAATGTACATGAAATAAGCTGCATTCATCTTAGTTCAGTGCTTGTCAAATCTCATAAATGCTTCATAGACTATCCCAGAACAAGAACATCAGTTGTTAGAATCCAAGAACTGAGTGAGGTAATGGAGACTGAACTTCCTTCTCACCATCAGAAGTGGCCCTGCCAAGTCAGGCCTGAGGTAAACAACTCCGATCATCTGAAGAAGTGGGCTGTGCCCATGTACCATCTACATGTTGTGTTAGTCTTTAAAGTGCTACTAAACTATTTGTTAATTTTTAAGTTTTTCCTGTAATAGATTAACTCAACCCTTCTGAAACCTGTAAACAACTAGGGCAGCTTAAGAAAGCTTACTGTACAGTTCTCCTTGTTCTGTGGCTAAACATTTCAAATCTCCAATGGAGTTAATCCAGCATTGTTCAATACCATTAGAGCCACTATTAAAACTGAAATATCAATTAATTACATTATGCACATGACAGTTTAGAATTTTAAAATAAGTGACTACACTGAAAAAGATGTCTTACTTTCCCATCCAAACTGCATAGCTTTCAGGGAGTTTCGGGATAAAGAGAATGGATTTTCCTGTATCAACCTCAAGTGCTCCATAGCATTCTGGTTCAGTTACTCCAAAAGTCCAATGAAAATAAGATTCCTATATAAGTAAATAAAACATCATTACTTTATCCCTTAAGTGCCCCACCCCAAACTACTAATGTAATACATATTATACCAACACTTCATTAATATGAAGTCAAATTTCAGTCAGCTCCCATAAAAACATTTTTGTCTCATGTATCACAATTTTTTATAGATTTTGTGATAATTTAGACCTCATTTCATTCCACTGTAATACAAACTTTGTTTTAGGCTACTGGCAATTTCCAGGAACTAACAATTATTACTTATATAGTGTGTTATTATACAAGATAGAGTCTTCTTGAAGACTTTACAATCTCAAATAAGATAAAAGCTTAGCAAAAAGAAAACAGTCAGAAAAAAGAAGAGAGTAAGAAGAATAAATATGATGGGCAAATTGTGCCTCTAATCTAGAGCTACTCAATTTTGGAAGCCCCGGGGGCTGAAATGATACTCACAGCACATGCCAAGGACCACAACTTAAGTGTGGTTGCAATACACAAATATATTTAAATAGCTCCTTTCACACTGACAGGCATGAATACAAACATTAAGGCAAGACTACACAACATACAGGCCCCATTTAAGTCAGTTGTGCTGATATTAATAAAATGCAATATTTACCTGATTTCCACCCATATGACAGCACTTTTAATGAACAATGACAATCCAGGAATTTAACTACTAAAATACATCTCAACAGAAGACCATTATATTGACTACTTTTTTGTTTTGACTCCCACCCGCTAGCTGCATGTTGAGTACTGAGCAAGCCCAAACCGCACCACGGGCCACAAATAGACAGGCTGCAGGCTGCATATTGAGTAGCCTGCTCTAAGCCCTAAATTGTAGTAGAGTTTTGGGGCAAATTGGAGGGGGGGCAAGTGAGTTTCTTCAGAGGAAGAAGCTGCAATAAAAAGGGCACAAAATGTACCAAGTTCTGAGATCAAGGGATATTTTATATTGGGAACAAAAAGGAATGGACAAAACTCAAAGATGAGTCAGAGACAGAACAACAAAATTTGACAAGGTGATGAGGCAAAGCTAAAACTGATTAGGGGAGTAAACTCTATTTTACTCTCTGCAAAAAGTGACTATAGACTGTGTATCATTCTCCCCTAGAAACCTAAGCAGCATGCTGTCACAGAAGATAAATATCTACTTTTTCCCCTTTCTTCAAAATGTGAAAGTTAAGTTCACAAAACTGAAGCAGTACTGTAGAATTCACTTTACAAATGAATTCTTTTTACCAGTTCTTGCCACCAGAGGCAGCAGAGTGATGTGACAGGGGGCTTCCCAGGAGCCAGGCTGGAAGGACACTGGCTGCAGGCCCCGCACCCGGGGACTTATCAATTAGTTGTGTAATCACTACAATTTTGATGCAGTTACAGGACTATTCAATTACACACTAGCTAACATACATTCTATTATTATTATTATTATTATTTATAATACAATAGTGCCTAGATGTCTCAACCAGTTTGGGGCCCCAATAACCCTTCAGAAAGGTTTAGGTTCACTAGGGCTTGCCTCAGAGTACAGCTCTGGACTTGATGGCCTTTCAAGGTACCTTCCAGCCCTACATCTATGAGATTCCATGAATATTTTCAAAAGTGATTAGGCACCTAGTCTAAATCCCATCAACTGTCAATGAGATTCTGGCTCTTAGATGCCCATGTTCCTTTTGAAAATTAAGTCGGGCTCCTAAATCAGCTAGGCATTGCAAAACTGGAAGTAGCAAAACCTAGATTAGTTTGAATATCTACCTCCTAGTCTAAAATAAAGAGAGGGAAACATTACAAGAAAAAAAGTGAATGAAAGAGACAGAGACACAATCTGAGAAAAGTAGTAATTCAAAAGTTTGTTTCTGAATAATGAACATCTTACCTGGCGAAAGAGAATGCCAGTGTCAGTGCAGTATCTTTGGGTTTCCTCGCCACCCTGCAGCAAAACAATAGCATTCTTTGGGACGTCTTTATTCCCCCTTAATCGATCACACAGCCGTTTTCTATTCAAAGCAAAGAGTGCTATTGGCACTTTCAAAGTCTCGTTCCCCAACCAAAAAGATGGTCTAGAAAGGATTAAAAAAAAAAGTAATTGTATTGCGAAACAATATATCAGTTAATATAGGCACAGAGATTATTTGAAGTCTGAGAAAGAAGTCAATCCTGAAAAGAATCATTTGTCAATCACAAAAATGAATTAAGCTTTAGGACTGTAGAGAGAGAACCCTGTAGTTAGAGTCAGAATGTAAAATACTGGTTAATCAGTTAAACATTAGATCTGCCTAGCATTTAATCCATTAACCAACAAAAGCAGGATTCTGGGCTAGGGACTACTTCAGCTTGGCTGGAGCATCCCCCTGGCCACGGGGCTCCCAACCCCAACCTCACTCAGAAACAGCCCCATGCCTCCTGGGCACCCCAGCACTCTGCAGACAGAGGCTGCTCCAGATGAGAGCAGCTCCTGTCCACCCTGGGCCCCCTGCGGGGCTGGAGCAGCCCCCTATCCTCGGCAGGTGAGGAGTTACTCCAGTTCCCCCTTTTCCCCGTTACTAGTTAACTGGAACTGGTAAGCATTACCCATTTAGAGTGTTACCCTGGTAACCAGTTAACCTTTCGCATCCCTAAGTTAGAGTCCATGGTATTGCTGAGAGAGAGAATGAAATATGAAAACTTAAGTCAGGCAAGTAGTAAATAATAAATAGGTGCTAAAAATAAATGCTGCTGGCTACAGTTATACTTCATAGTATGACACAGAAGTTAGCTTCTGTTAGAGAAAACAGAAGTGATTTTGAAGGGGCGGGGGGGAGACATACAAAAGGTGGTAGTTTGCTGAGATATTTGAAATAAGAGCCTAGATGGGAGAGAGAAAAATATGAGTTGTTGATAACAATAGAATTGAAAAGTTACATTTAGAAAGGGCCAATTTCTTTATAAAATATTACACAGCATGTGGGAAAAACTACAAAAGCTGAACAAAGCAATTCCTAGCAAGATGGCAGTTAAAATGGCACATAGAATGACGTTTTTGATACTCATTTACTATTTGTATGTATACAAGGGAGTGCAAGATACAGTATTTTAGAAACTTTTTTCAGTGTTTCAATTTAAGCAAATTTAGGATAGAGACGCGCACCTTTAAAAACAACTAAGCTCTTACCAAAGGGAAGCTTTACATAAAATGGATTTATCCGTGTTTACATATGTTCTTTTAGTTACATTTTTGGCCTGTGTAAAAACAGATGAATTGGTTTTTACCCTGAGTCTTAAAGGAGCCGCTATTGTCCATTGCTGAGAAATGGAGGGAGGGAGGGGGGCATTGCTTAAATAACTCAGGTATTTAAAATTCCATAAATATATGTTGCTGATAGGGGCCTAAGCAAATAGTCGACTATTTGACTACCCAATAAGCATAAGCAGTCAAATGGAGCTCTCGACTACTCGCTTCCCATCCCCTGCTGCTCCTGTATGAGAGGCAGAAGGGGGGAGCCAGAAGCCAGGGTTGGGGGGGAAACCATCTCCGCAGTGCCGCCTTTCTCTCCCACCTTCTGCCTCCCGCCCCCGCTGCAGAGAGGCAGCAGCCTCTGTCTGTGAGGTCCCATGCAGCCCCTTGTTGACGAAAGCCCTAGCTGGCTGCGGGCATGGGCCCCTATCCGTGGCCAGCTATGGTCACCACAAACAGGAGGTGCTCCAGCAAGAGTCCCTGTTTGGGGCAGGCCAGCAGCCAGAGATAGCTGCGGCCAGGGGCTGCTGTTGAAGACAGCCTGGGCCCAATGAACAGAGGCTGGAGGACCCAGCATGAGCCCAGCTCCTGCAGGTCTGGGATGCTGCTCCTCTGCATTTTAAATGTAGTAAAAGCTCAGAAGCTCCTACTATATTTAAAATATACAGGAGTCCAGAGCCGGCACGAGCCAGGACTGCTCCTTCCCAGCTCCAGCCGGCTCCCTATGCAGCTCTGCAGAGGGCCCCCTTATCGACTAATCGTGCAGTCGATACATTTTGTATCAAATAGCCAAATCATCGCAATTTAACACTCTTAGTTGCTGATTCAAAACCAGCTGAAAGGAAGAGTCTAAAACTGTATTCTTCTGTTTTATATTTACAATAGGGAAATAGTGATCTGGAGCTTCAAAACTGCAGTATTAAAAAACCAGTGATTAAAGTACAACTAATTCAGCCTCTTTCCAGACACCATATTGCACATTCTCTCAGCAGCTGGAGGACCATTAACTATATTTACAATTTTCTGAGAGAAATGATAATGCTGAATTCAGCCTCACTATGCTACCCTGTTTCTAAAATGGAAAAATTTAACCCACATTAACCTTAGAGTATTAGAACAATGCACCATCATGTATTAATTGTTATATGGCTTTCATGGAAAATTATAAGTCTGAAAAGTAACCTTTGATTTACAGCTTTATAGAGCAAACTTTATAATCAGAAATCTAACCCACAATTTCTAACTGCAGATACACCATAAAGATGCTAATAAAATGCTTTATACTCTATTTTTATAATCACTGATATAACAGTGTACATTTTTCAAAGTCTAAGATAAAATACAGGTATATACCAATCCATTTATATACTAATCCATTAAAACTAAATTATAGAGGAATTTAGCTGATGATGCATAAAGATCAAATCTGATTATTTTTATTACCTTCTCCTGCAACCCCAGCAACACGCTATGTGACAGTTGCTGGGAACCATGAGTCACTAGCTGTGCAGTACAGAATAAAGTTTTCATTGGGAGCTAACTCCAGGCATAGGAAGATAAAGCAAATCTATTCAACCCTAGCAATAAATATTCTAAATCTTCAAATAATCCAGTAAAACTTAATCAGAAATTAAGGTCAGTTTCTCAAGCGTGCTGTGACTGCTTGCATTGATTGCTTTATAAGGGGCCTATAAAACCTGTCTACATAGTTCACAGCCCAGGCAGGATCACTGAGCACAAGACCAAGGCCAAGTCTACACTACCACTTACTAAGGCACAACTTACATCACTTAGGGGTATGAATAAACCACCCCCGAGTCACATAAATTACAACAACCTAAAAGCTAGTGGACTTTATTAGTAAGAGAGCTTCTACTACTGACATAGCTACTGCCTGTCATGGACGTGGATTTATTGTGCTGATGAGATTGCTCTTTCCTTCGGCATAGAGCACTTTCACCAGACATGTTATAGTGATGAAGTTGCATCAGTGCCTAGCCCAGAGGCACTGACTTTCAGAAGTGCCGGGGGATGCTCAACCCCCAGCTCTGCCCTATGCCCTGCCCCCACCTGCTCCACACATACCCTACCTCCTCTCGCTCAGTTCCATCACCTCACAGTACATCATGTCCTCACTGTTCCCCACACCCAACCTCCCAAACATTGCCAAACAGCTAACTGTGGTAAACGGGAGGCATGAGGAAGAAAGGGAAGGTGCTTATTTGCAGGACCCACCAGCAGGTCTGTGGTGCTAGAGTATGGGGGGAGCAGGTGGGAAGTTACCAGTGGCTGCTCAGCACCCATTAGTTTTTCCCCATGAGTGCTTCAGCCACAGAGCACCCCAGAGCTAGTCCTAAAGGAGTGATTCTGGGAGACATAAAGCCATTATGAGGTGTCTTAAGTCACACACTCTCTTTGTTGACAGCACAATATGAACAAAAAGGTGTGGTTAGTGTAAAGGGGACAGTCAGATGCCACACGGCTTTTACGGATTCTCCTGGCCATTATGGTCTCATGTGAGGACAGCCTCTAATAGTGCAAGAAGAAAGGCAGATATTTTGGCACAACCCAGCCTACACTAAACTCAAGGAAAAGCTACATTCACTGTACATTTGGAAAAGTTATAAGGTTTTATGATGTATCTGCGATTAAAAAAAAAAGACTGATTTCTCTCATGTCCATAACCTGGTATACTACTAATATGAGGCTGCACTGATCAGATTTTAATCTCCATTAAGTTTATTATAAACGCTCTTTTATTGCATACAAAACTTGTGAGTACTAAGAACAAACTCAAGGAGAGATAATTATCCCTCTACATACAACTATGCTTGCTAATGTCATTCCAAGCCATTTTACATAGGACCTTTTACTAGTAGTTGAATATATTGGTTGAATCACAACATTCACTAAAATAAGGATGAAAATTAATTAATCCAAGAGCATTTTTACAAACATACAAGAAAAGTTCTACCCTCAGTTGCATCTAAAAGAATGCACCAAAGTCAACATCACTACATGGATATAACTAGCAGAGATGTAAGTGGATAACTGGCTACCCAGTAAGCATCATCCTTAACAGGTTATGTCTACTGGGTAACAGTTAACCATTACTCCAGAGCAGCCCTCCCCACAAATCTACCCAGGTTAGGAGTTCCTCACCTCTCTCACTACCAGCCACATGTGAGGCTGCCAACTCCTAGCCCATGTGAGCTGGGAACCCAGCAGCTCAGCATGGGGTCAGAAGCAGCTGGGCTGAAGGGCTGTGTCTACACGCCCAGCTTCTTGCATGAGAAATATGCAAATGAGGCCAAGCGTGGAATATCGCCGAGCCTTATTTGCATACCTAATGAGCCGCCATTTTTGCAGAAGAGGCTCTTGCACCGGAAGGAGCTGTCTACGCTGCCCCTCCTTGAGCAACAAAAACCCTCTTGCGCAATGCCATTATGCCGATTATTTGCATATTTCTGGCGCAAGAAACCGCGAGTGTAGACATAGCCAAGCAGTCTCTGCTCACAGTGCAGGAACTGCTCCAGTCCACTCCCATTTAATGTTTAACCAGTTAAACTGATTAAGATTAAACAAACAGGATTTTATATCCCTAATAAATAGCAGCAGAATTTGACATTAATATAAGACTTTGGTTTCTGAAAATACTATATTGGACTCTACTGCATGGCTTCTAAGGAGAGTGAGATTAGCTGACAGTGTTGGATCCCCATGGCAAGGTATATAGGACACAAGAGGGTTTGTGTAAAGTACTGTTTAGCTCCTCAGATTCTTTGCTGAATACTCAGAGCCCACAGTATGAATTCATACAACCTTGTTAGGGAAGATATCAAATGT